TGTAGGTGTGTTCTGGGGTTTTCAAGGTTATCTGACAGAAACCAAATCAGTAAACTGAACCTAAGAATTCCTTCTGAAAGCACTGACTATGAGGATTCCTCTGCAAGACAAGAAGCATAGAGAATAGATTTTTAAATCTTTTTTTATGTTTCTGATTTTTTGTCAACATCTGTCACAAACACTCTCCAGGTATAACACAATTCTGCACAGACACGGGCTCCATTCAAATCTATTGTTTCCTTTGTGTGTTTAATCCACTATGGACGTTTTATTGACTTTTCTTGCAAAGGTGGGAAGTCAAACGATTCTACTACTGGTCTTGTTCACAGTCTGCCGTAATAGAATAATAAATGCTGTAGCAGCCATCTAAACTGATTTCTATCAGCTGTGAAGAAAGACAGCTCTGAGGGTGATATCCTGTCCTTATTTGCTTATTCTCAGGGTGTTTCAGTGGCTATTAAATCATGTCTTGGTTCTTGCAACTGAGGCCCAAGGAATACTGGCTCTTTTCTTAAAATTATATGCTGTCTATTCCTGTAGAAAATGAAACTTTTGTTTTAGTTTACTTTAGCAAAGGCATGGAAATTGCTCTCCTTTTCAAAGACACTGTTAGAAGACAGGACAAGTTTAAAGTTAAAATCTCCCATGGACATGAAGAGAGTTTCTTGTGAGCACCTCCTAAAAGGAGTAAACATACAAGGGTATGAAACCAGCCATCCCCTGCTCTTCTGCACCTGCAGCCGCTGTACAATTTGAAAATATGGAAGGGCAGATCATTTCAGCCCTGGTTAAAAAGTCGAGCAAAGCCGTGTCTGTGAGCTCTGTCCCCAGTCTTCTTCTAAATTGTAAATCTCCTGGCTGTGGCTGTCATTTGGGATGAATCATGCATGAGGAAGGTGCCTCTGGTTCTGAAACTGTCTACAGCTTGTACCTATTTAAAATGAAAAGGGTTTCCCATTGCAGATTTTACAGGTCAGAAAACTTCAAATGTAGCAAAGAAAATGTGTGGGAAGAGTGGGAAACACCAAGAAGAAGAAGAAATCGAATGTGAGGTTTGGTACTTAATGCTGCATTGTTCAGTTTGCAAACTTTATCTTCATCATGCCGAATTCTTCTTGTTTTTTTCTTCTCATACCCTGTATTTTTATTTTCCTTGCTTTTGTTGTGTGCATGAATGATTTAAGCAAAAGAGAGCAAGAGCTTGAAGAGAAAACCTAAATCTTTCATTGGCAGTCCCAAAGAGCCCAACACACTGCAGCTTACAAGTACACCGACAAAACAAATGCAAGAGTAAAGCAGGAAAAACCAGCTGCTGTGTGGCCAAGAAGTAGGATAAAATGCAACAAACATATTAATCATTATTAAAATATTATTATTCGTCAATTCACTTTTCTCATGCCTTTTATGCTCCTGTCTCTGTAAGAGCCCTCTATCCCTGAAATCCAGTCTTCTCACTGGCCATCCTCTGGAAACTAACGGAAACCACCCAGTGCTTGAGAGCATTGCTCGAATTTTGTAGGTGTGACCACAGAAAGAAATCTGTGGTGAACTGACGTCAGCTCATTGCAAAAGAAACATTTCCAAGTTCCTTCAAAACTTCGGGAACTGAACTCTGTTGTCTCGGTTAACCCCCCATGTAGCCACCACCATCAGTTTTTGAAGCCGGAAGTGACCATATTTAGATAAGAGGGACAGGTTTTAACTTACCAGCTAATGCTAGCAAGCTAATGCTAGCAACCTAATGCTAGCAAGCTAATGCTAGCTAGGTTGAGCAAGGTGCATCGATAACATGAATCAACAAAGACAGCACCAGTTTAGCAGTGACTCAAGCTCCCTGTACACACCTATTAACCAAATCAGCACCAACCCTAACTTTAAGTATTTTCAAAAGGTTGAATTTAAAAAAAAGCTGTACTACCATAGCTTTTATGAAGGGAATCCTATTCATTCAATCCTGTTTTTTTTCTACTATACATGCTCTTTAATGGTGTCGAGACAGGCATTTGATTGTAAGCCCAACAAGGGACAATTGTTGAAAATTAGCAATAGCTATAAACTTATGTGCGTTACATCTGTTTCATGTTTTGTACTTGGACCATGTTAAACTGCACTGTCCCTTTTAAATAAATAGATTAACATGGGAGACAGTGAGGTTAGACTTGCTTTTGAAGCCAGCCTCAAGTGGCCATTCATGAAACTGCAGTTTTGGCACTTCAGTTCTGGCTTGATTTTGTTAACCCCATTGTTTCTGTTTCTGGTGTGTTTAGTTTGCAGTTCAAAGACAGGCTACACGTGAATGTTGTTAGTAAAAAGGTGCACAGTGCTAGAATTACAAACAAATAGTTTGTTAGGACTTCTGTCCTGAAACTCCAGCATACTGAAGGAAAGAGGATCTGCCACTGCATTAGAAACACTTGATCAAACTTGGTATATCACTAGCTAAGAAGTGGAGAGACGTAATGAGACAAGATGAGGTCAAATTAAATAAGATATAAGAGAAAAGTATTTGATTTTGTGCAGTGTGGGTTCTGTCCAGTAGCATATTTGTATTAGGATGTGTTTTTAATTATTACAATGGATTTCTGTATTTATTGTATATGTTGTAAAATGGCTCCATTTCATTGGTGTTTATTTTGTCCATTTTCATCTATATTCTAACATTTTAGCCTTCTGAGTTTTTGCAACGACAGTATTTTTGCTGTTAGGTGGGCTCTTTTTTTGGTACCACTCCATAAAACAAGTACTGTGAAGTTTCATCAATTTTCTTTTGTCTCTGACCTTTTTATGTAGGGTTAGCAACAGTTTTAAAATGTTCAACCTGGCTGTGTCACGAAAACAGAAACAATAATAACAACAATGAATGGATTACATGATATTTATCTGGATTACTGAGTATTTGTCACATTGTATCAGAAGGGAAATGGACATGTGGCCTTATTTCTGTCATAATCCTGCAAGTAAGTGTGAGGGAGGACTCTATTTTTATATGACAACACCAGGAAATATGTTATTTTGCATGCTTATATGGCTGTTATGCTGCTAATGATTGTACTATCTGTATTCATATCTGAAAAAGATTTCAGACAACATTCCTCTGTGTGTTTACTTGTGTACTGTGCAGAATCAATCCTTCTATTTCAGACTGCCAGCCTAATAATCCAGCACATAACAGATATATGAAAAGTAGGGTAGATTTGTATCGAAACAACGTTTAAAACATGCATGTTTGTGTTATGACTATATGTAAACAAACCCAAAGTCACATAACCTGTTGGATATTTTTGTATGAAGCATGCTGAGCTTTCTACACAGTGTGTACAGGATGAGGTTATTATATACTGCTCACCAGTTCCATTTGTTATGTAGAAGCTGCGTGTAAATATAAGTGTTGTACAGAATATTTTGTGAAGTCTTCCTTCTTTCCATTTTTTCACTCTGTTCCAAATATTTCTTTTATTTTTGTTTCCACTTGTGTTGGTCAAAGTTTTTCATTTTGTCACTGTTTTCTAGCTTTTGCTTAAAAACCAAATAAAGATATTATTGAAGGCTGAACTGTAATCTTGTTCACTGTTTTACAGTAATTGCTGTGTTAAACTTCACTTACATCGCCTTTGTTTGTTTGTATTTTTAACTCAAAGATAAATTAGACCAATATCTTTTTTTTTCAAGCAATGATGAATTTTTTTTTATTATTTATATATTTGTAAAGGGGCCAAATTATTTCAAATTTATGTACATTTTATACTTACAATCTGCATATTGATATCTATTTTCAAATTATTAAACTTTATGTAACTATATTTTTGATTAGCCTCTTTTAGTTATCAGCTGAAGACAGAAGAAAAGTAAAGGGGGAAGTTTATTTGGAGTCAGTGAGACAGAAAAAAGATGAGAGTAGTGACTTTAAAAAGTAAAGACTATGACTAATAAAGGGAGAGAGCTGGGTGATATGAAAGAGAGAAGGAGGACAGATATATTGTGTGTGCGGGAGAAGGGAAGTAGAGCCAGGAGCATTGGACGTGGATTCAAACTCTATTACTACAGTGCAGATAGTAAATGAAATGGAGAACGGGGAATCATGAAGGAGTGCTATGGAGTTGAAGAGAGTGTCAGACAGGATCATGAACTTGAAGCTAGAAACTAATGAGCGGATGTCAGAAATTATCTAGGAAATCATGAAGAAGTGAGTGAATGCAGTGGCAAGGATTAAATGGAGGAAGTGAAGAAGGAAGAATGCTTTGCAGAGTTTAGTGGTGAGTTAAAACAGGCTCAGGAAGGTAGAAAAGAATATTCAGATGACTGGGAAAGTACAGCTAAAGTGGTGAGAGAAACTGCCCAAAAGCTGGCACGTGTTTCCTCTGAGCATAAGAAAGAGGACAAAGAGATGGTGGTGATGCATCATTTGCTAGTCAGAGAGATGGAGTTAGAAAGGATGTGCAGCAGGTTAGAGTGATTAAGCATGGAGACAGAAATATAATAAGAGTGTGCTGAGAATATGGGAGGAGTGCCGTGATGAGTTGATGAACAGAGAAATTGAGAGAGAAGAGGACAAATGTCAGACAGTTAGTGAATTAGGAAGTGCAGAGGATTAGTGACGAAGATTAGAGTGGAAGGATGCCGATGATATACCTGTGGAGGAATGAAGAAGGCAACGGACTTTAAGCTGTGGAAAAGAGCTTTTGAAGAAGAAGACAAGTTACAGTCAGTGAGCAGCAGAGATGGGCAGTAACGCGTTACAGATTACTTGTAACGTGTTACTGTAATCTGATTACTTTTTTCAAGTAA